AATGAATCATGAGGTATGTATTTGGAGGAGGGTACTAAACTTCATATATCTGGTGTATTTTACATTTACAGCACATTTCCATTTGTACTAGTTCTCTTTCAAGTGCTCTGTGGCTCCAGGGAGCCAGTGGCTACTGTATTGGACAGCGCAGGACTAGAACGTTTCTTGAGCTTTTCGATTTGTAAGTTGAGGACCTCTACGGGAGGAAGGACCTCTTCTACCAGACCTCTTCTACCAGAAAATACTTCCAGACCCAAGATAACTGCAAACTACACAATACTCTTTGGGGTCTGAATTTGGAGGTGTAATTTTAAACATATTTAATTCAACTTTGTGAGTTTAATTAAAGTCAGGTTTTCATTAAACTCATAACGTGAATTCAGTTTGGTGCATAATACTTTGGTAGGGGAACGAATGTTTGTTTTCTGTTTGCAGCATCTTTGTCTCTGCTGAGAAAATAAGCATTGACAAAGACTAGAGCAAGATGTCTGTCTGCTGCCAAAGTGAAAAGTTGTTCCTGTCCCATGATACCTTAATGCTGATGGCAGGTTCTTCATACCCAGACCAACTGTCCTTTGTGTCACTCTAGCCTCTTTCTTCAATAGACCTTTGCTAACACACCTACTTCATTAGCAAAATCATTGATGATTTTGTCCCTGGGTGATAAGGAATAACTTTTAATTCCCCTTATTTTGCAGCTACAATTTTTCCTGAACATATACCATCTTTGTGTCATACAAAGAAACTAAGAGGGTGCCTTCATTAGTAATGGGAAATTTAAATGCCAGCTAACATATATATGACTCGTGTTCTACACAATTTGGAAAAGGGTGCCCCCTTGGGGTGTACAAAACCTTGTAGATATACAGCTTGGCAACTAGATAGTAGCTTTGAGCAAATTAGAAAAAAGAACCCCTATGACTTACAGACCAGTGTCAGGGCAGATAGCTTGACAAGTGGAAAAGACAGGATTTCAGAACCTATTTGCTCTCCTGCACAACTTACATGGCAATTGTGACTGTGACTACAATGAGTGGTTTTCCAACATCAGGCATCATGCTAGGAACTTTACATGTATTAGCTCATCTGTTCCCCAGTAATTCACTATTAGACATCCTCACTTTACAAATTTAAACACTCAGAGCCTTTTAAACAAATTTAAACGCTCAGAGAGACTGAGTGCTTGGCTACGGTCACACAAGTAAGTGGTGGAGCCAAGATGAGAATTCTGTTTTATGTAACTTCCATAAATCATGATCCCAACCACCACATTACATGGGGCGAATTATCCTCCTCCTTAAACCTTTCATTCCCAGGAGTTATTCTAACAGTTAAATTTGATTGAGTACATGGAAAGGCTTCACACATTTTAACACAGTATATAGAACATAAACCGATCTTTACAATTGTGTTAATAAAAATAAGTGATCAGAATATTTGCTAAGATGTTTTTTAAATACTTGAGCTTTAAGATTTTCTTAAAAGAGCCTACAACAGGACTAGCTGTAAAAGCGCCAGATAGCTGGGCATGGTGATTCACGCCTGTAAATACCACCACTTTGGGAGGCCAAGCAGGCAGATCACCAGGTGAAGAGTTTGAGATCAGCCTGGCCAACATGGTGAAACTCCATCTGTACTAAGAATACAAAAATTAGCCAGGTGTGGTGGCATATGCCTGTAATCCCAGCTACTCGGGAGGCTGAGGCAGAAGAACTGCTTGAACCTGGGAGGTAGAGGCTGTAGTGAACTGAGATGAGATTGCGCCATTGCACTGTAGCCTGGGTGACAGAGCAAGTCTCTGACTTGGAAAAAAAAGCAACATATAAATTGGTTAGGAAGTAGCACAAAGAATTCATCTATGGAGAAGGGGGTTGAAAAAGTAGACATTTATAACAAGACAGGAACTATCAAGGGTCACCTGCCACAGACGACAGATAAAGCTTAATTAATTGTTATGCAATTGATACAATATATAAGATAATGGTAGGACAATTTATTTCTCTATTTTAAGGAAACCTTGAGTGATCTGGTCACTGGTTTAATTCAGCAACTATTTTTATCTTGTTAATTAACAGTTATTCAGTAGCAAAAAGGGAGGGGAACAGAGTAGAGAGGATAAAAGAACACAAAAAACATAAAAACCATAAAACCTCCTAAACTGTGCGTATGCTTCTCTCTGAACTAGAACTTTGAATAGTTGAACCTTCAAGGAAAAAGATAAGTTGGTGTTTTAAAAAGACAGATTTGGGTTTTATTTTTGTCAGTCTGTTTTTAGAGAGAGGAAAGTTCTGATAAGAATGAAGTGTCTTAAAACCAAAATTAAAACCACAGTAAGATACTACCACTTTCTTACTAGAATGGCTAAAATTTAAAAAGGAGACTATCTAGTGCTAACAAGGCTACAGCGCAACTAAAACTCTCAATATTGCTGGACAGAATGTAAAATGATACATTCATTTTGAAAAATGGCTCAATGATTTAATATAAATTTAAATGTAGATGTAGCATAGAGTCCAGCAATCCTGCTCCTAGGCATTTACCCAAGTGAAATAAAAACTTATGTTGAACTACCTCACATCCAGTAGGATGGCCATCATAAACAAAACAAAACAGAAAATAACAAGTGTTGGCAAGGATGTGGAGAACCCTTGTGCACTGTAAAATGTTGCAGCTGCCTATGGAAAACAGTATGGTGGGTGCTCAAAAAATTAAAATTGAATTACCATAAAAAAGAATGAAGTGTCTTTGGGGATATGAGAAGACTGGTAAGATGGGCTGGAGTTTGGCATACAATGGGATTAACTGAGCTTCAGTTATAAACTGTGTGTAGCGGTTCCTTCGTTACTATTAAGTTTAATACATGAAGAAAACCTGTGCCTTGAAAATTCCATCCTCACTTTTGCTCTAGTGGCCTCCGGTCCTTGATTCTTTAAGCCTACAAGTATTTGCATTTCATTTGAATTGTCTAAAATGGAATCAAAATTTATCTAGTCTTTAAAAAAATGGCAAAGAAATGCTGTCTAGTTTTTCCAAAATCACACATAGAATCCAAGACAGAGAATTATATCATTGTCTCTTTACATCTTGGGATACTATACAGCCCTAAAAAAGAATGAGATCCTGTCTTTTGCAGGAACATGGATGGAGTGGGAGGCCATTATCATTAGCAAACTAATGCAAGAACAGAAAATCAAATACTGCATATTCTCACTTACAAGTGGGAGCTAAATGAGAACTTGTAGACACAAAGGAAAACAACAGGCACTGGGGCCTACTTGAGGGTAGAGGGTGAGAGGAGGGAGAGGATCAGAAAAAATAACGAATAGGTACTAGGCTTAGTACCTGGGTGAAAGAATAATCTGTACAATAAACACCTGCAACGCGAGTTTACCTACATAGAAAACCTACATGTGCAGGTTTGAGTTTAGCACTCAATCTCTCTGAGCCTTAGTTTAGGCTGAGGCAGAATTGCTTGAACACCGCAGGTGGAGGTTACAGTGAGCAGAGACCATGCCACTGTACTCCAGCCTGTAACAGAGTGAGACTTCATCTCATAAAAGGGAAAAGAAGTAGAACTAGATTTTGACCTCAGCCTTACTACTCAGTGGGGTAACCTCAGATATGTTACTTGACATCTCTGAACTTCAGTTTCCTTATAAGTAGAATTAAAAACCACTTGATTTGCAGTGCTATCCTTTCGTTTTCAATTTTCACTTATGAAGGCATTTATCAGTGCTTCATGAATGCCAGACACTCATCAATTCTACTTTCCCTCTACCTTGCTGTAAAGGCATCTTTAAATTCATGGTCGGTAGTGATGTGTCTTATACCAAACCTTTGGCATGACCATTTTTTCTAGAGAATATAATGATAATAACTCATACTTATCAAGGGCTTACTCCATGACAAGGACTGTATTTCATATGGACCTCAGATAATTATTGTGTTTATTCTCAACAATAACCCTAGGAAGTTAGGAAGGTAATCTCCATTTTACAGAAGAAACAGAGGCTCACAGAGATCAAGAAATTTGCCCAAGGTCATTCTTCAAGTACCCTTCAGTTCATCTAGCTCCTTGGTTCAAACCATGAAACCCATGAGAGACTATGCTGAGTGCATTCCAAAAGTTAGTGACTTAAAAAAGAGTGGATTTTATGAAATATGAATTCTCTCTCTAATAAAGCTGTTATTTAAATAATTCCTGGATTTGGAGTGATTAGGAAGTGAGAATAAAGGAAGAATTAGCTCTGATATTTTTCTCTCAGCATCAGACTTTATGGTAAGCCTGTTCTTTTTTTTTTTTTTTTTTTTTTTTACATTTTTAAAGGAAAACTCTGCATCAAACACCTGCTCTCAAAACCAGACCATTCCTAATGTCTACTAAGAAAAACTGCTCATGTTCTTAGGGTCAGACAGCCTGAAGAAGTTGTGTATGAAAAAGTGACATGCTCAGATATATACCAGTCTTACTAGGTCAAAGAACAAGACATTGAAACACAACAGACTCCAATAATTACCATGAAACATTTTTTAAAAACTAATTATGGCCCAAGAGAAGTTAAAAATTTATGAAGGATACTGAAATTATCTGGGAGGAACTTGAAAAAGCTGAAAGAGACCGGAAGAAATTCAAAAAATAAAATGTGAACACATTTTCTTCAAAATGCTCAGCATGCCTTGCATACCTTCCATTACTATTTCACCCTCTCCTTGCCCATTTTTGACTTAGAAAATTTTCTTTGGTATTGGAAAGATTGATGTATGTGATTAAAGATAGAATCATCAGAATACTTGTACTTTTATATTATGGTGAAAAAAGTGTGTTAGATTAAATGAAACGTCACGCTTTATGATATAGAAAACAGGAATAAAAGCTGAAGAACTTGGGTCCTAGCTTAAAATACAAATGTGTGAAATTCAAGTCCTGTTTCACGTAATCCAGTCATTCCTTCAATTTCTGCCTGCAGACATTTACAGAACAAAGGAGCCATCATTGTTACCTTCATCCATGCCATTAAGTAACTCAGTTAAATCTTCATTTTTGCTGTCAAATTGATGCTCCTTCCAAGTTTCACCATTTTCACTTCGAAGAACAATGAGTTCTCTCTCTTTTCCTCTCATGGACCCAAAGTGAGGGATTTCCACTATGACAGGGCTGGAAAAAAAATCCACATTATTTTTGTATCAAATTAAATATATTTATAGTATCATATTTTAAAACTATTTCAATAACAGTATTCATTTGAAAATCAGAGGTGCCACTAAGGTTGGGAATGATTTCAAAGCTGCAGAATCATTTGCTAATTAAATAATATTTTAGAAGCCTGATAACATGCCATCATTCATTCATTCACAAACAGTTCTTGGAGGACTACTATATGTTAGGCATTGGATTTAACGGGAGAAAATTTTCAGTACCTATGAATAGGAATTTTGAATCAAAATGGAAAGTTACTAAAGTAGACCATAGGAAAGTTGGTCCATTTTAAAAAGACACTATAGGTATATTATACAAATGCTAATGATTTAAAAGGACACAGTCATTTCTTTGAAAAAATTCTATAAAGTTCCTAGTTTGAAAGATTATTGCTGTATTTTCTCTTTTGCAAGGAAACAATCAATATGATAACTACTGCTCCAACAGTAAGATTCCATTTTTTTCATGGCCTGTACCGTAAAGAGAGCCTATGTTCTTCAAGTTGTGAAATGGTAGTAAATAGCTTCAAGTTCTGGTTCTAATATAACCTGCATAAGAATACTTACACTTTCTGAAAAAAAACACTTGCTGGTTTGAAATTGTCATATAATGACGTAGTAAAGTTTGACAGTGTCCTTTTGCAAAGGAATGTAAAAGAATGGCTGCAAATTGAACATAGCCAATCAAGCCACGGGAAGTAATTTTGGTACATTTTAAAATAGGATAAATACTAAAAAAGATGAATGGAAGTAAGCAGACCACAATCACACACAGTTTATGTAGTTGGATTGTGCAGCTTTATTTTATGACATTTAAGTAGACAGTATCATTATTCTCCTACAGAGGTTGTATGGAACCTCACTTCTTAACCTATGTGTTTAGGTATATGTGGTAACAGAAGATACAGGCTTAAATAAGTAAGAGCATAAAAAGGAATAGTAGTTGTAATGATCAAATAACATAAATAAAAACATGAATATTGATTTATTAGAAAAGTATTCATTTAAAATGGAGATAAATATGATTGTTTTGCTTTTGGCAAAATCATTATAGTTTATTTAAATTAAATATTAAGAAATAATGTTTATAATGCCTTTATTCTTCAATAGGTAGAAAACAAATCGTGTTCTTAGAAGTATTAATGATTTCAAATTAAGATATTTACCATAATGTTTAACTATACCTTATAATTAAACATTAAATTATGTTTATTTTTGAGAAGATACAATCTTTGCAGGTTAATGTGTCAGATACTGTCTCTGTAAATATTTAAGGAATGTGGCTTTATGTATGATGCTCAATGATATTGGAAAGAAGGTATGAACAAGGGCCTTTGACCAAGGTGAAAGCCAAGCATAGCTTTTCATTAACAGGTTTCTTCATGCAGACTGCCAAGGCAAATACAACAGTCAAACAGACAAGCGAACAAACAACGAATACCAATGCATTTCAGCTTAAACAAAACCAAACAAAACAATTTAGTAACTTTAAAAGAATATTCTATCTGCTGCCTATTTAATTTTATTTAAATATCTTGTGTTCCTAACACTTTTCAAAATCAGTTTACATATTGATGACTTCTTCTCAAAGCCCATAAAAAATTACAGTACTCATGTACTCTTTTAAAAGATCTAATTACACACACACACACACACACGCATGCATGCACACACACACAGGCGTACGTACATGAAATTTATAGCAAATGTTGATTCAAAGCCTGCAAATACCTTCCCTAACACTGGGTTAAAATGAAAGACTGTCGCTGTCTTAAAAGTATCATATTCAGAAGAAACATTTCAAATTAAAGAAAGGTTTACAAAAGCACAAAGTTATGAAAGCAGAATGCTTGCAGTGAATTCCACATGCTTGAAAAGCACAAGATAGGTAGCGGTGCTACATTAAGTCAAGCCACTATGATTTCTTTTCTTTCAGTGACACACATCAACTGAAAGCATTAAAAAAAAACTTAAAAAATAAAAATAAACTTAAGACAAGAATCAGACTATGGGTGTGACAGAAAAAAATTGAAAATGGAAAAAAATTGTAGACATTCTGTATCTTGTCTATAAAGGTCCTACCCAATAAATTTTGTTCCTTGAGGCCCCAGCTGCAGGATTCGGCTAACCAAGCTCTCACCCTCATTTACAGGGGGAGGATTGGTAGGAAGATGCAGTTTACTGAATAACATCCATGCAGCAGAAAGAGAAACGAGAAGGGGAAATTGTGAACAAACTGTCAGTCACGACAGAGCCTGCCTGATTTGCACCCAAGTGCCACCTCAGAAAACGAATTAAATTTATTTTTCCTTTTTGTAAAATACCGTATCACAATGAACTGTTTCCTGAAAAATTTCCTTTAAAAAGACATGTCCCCAAAGTAGCCATATATTCAATGTGGTGAAATCATTCCAGCATCTGCATTTTTTTCCCTAGAATGGTGCCTTGACTTCTACAGGGACCACGGGAGTTCCGTGCACTTGCTGAGCAGAGAACATGCTTCTTGGTTAGTAAAAGCCTTGACCAGCAAACTGAGTTAAGAAAGTATCAGTCTATTAGCCTTTCATGGAATCACACAGCTTTTTGACCTTTGACACTTTACAAAAAGTATACACAATCGGGTCCAACTAAGCAGTTTGAAGAGTTAACTCCTTGAGTTAACAAGGGTAAAGAAAATCAAAGATGTGTAAGGACCAAGGTTAAAATTGACAAAACAACTTACCCTAAAAATTGTGCCCCTGCAGGACCCATTTCTACCAGCCTACTGGCTAATCCCTCTCCTTCCACCATGGGGGGTGGGTTGGCCAGTTTATGTCTCTTTACCAAACGGCAGGTGATTCGAGTGGGGGCCGTACACTTGCGTGGTGGAATGATGATTCTCATCCCGTGGTGACGGCTTCCTCTCATGGAGCCCCCTCTCGCATCCACCATAAAGCTAACCAGAAACCTGTGGTGGGGAAGATCAGAGGCGAAATCAAGGATGGAAATAAACTGTGTTCACAGCAGGTTGTGAAATGAAATGTTAAAGTTTAATGCGACAGACAACATAGCTATTATTTCCTCTCTTTAAAGATAAATCGGAAGTAAATACAGTGGAGTCACATCAAACATGCTTTTAACTTGCACACTTTCAAAAACTGAAACACAACTTATTTTTGGTGGAACCTAACCCCCAAAGAAGCCAACTACTTTTCCAGGCTCAAATGGAAGGAATAAGAAAGGTTTCAAAATTGGGGTAAAAACTGTCTATTAAGAGGATTCTCATGCATTAGAAAAAAAAAAACGAACTGTGGTCTTTATATTCAAAGGTCATTTTAACTATAAGTCGTTTTTGCCATATGCTGCCATATGCACTCCTACAAGTAAGATGAAACTCCACAGTATGTCTTGACATTTACAACTCATAAAATGAATGTATATTTAATTATACCAACACTAATTTCTACCATGATGAAGCAGAATATAAGGATAAAAGCAGGGGATGACTAGATTTGCTAGATTTTGATGGAAAGGGATTAAATGTTTTCCATATAAATATGGGCTTCAAATCTGTTTGAAATAGCCTACATTTGAATAATTTATGCAACAAGAAAAAATGCAACTCAGACTTTTAGAAAATGGCTCTAAATTATATAATTCTGTCATTGGCCTTTTATTAAAGGTAGTAAGGAAAAAACTGTCTGCATGGATTAATAGATATGAAAATGTAAAGAAATGAACTGTGTTATATCTGGGTGAAGCATATTAGAATCACTGTCTTCTCTCACATATGCATGCTCCCACTATCATCATCGCAGAGTTATAACACAGTTATCATTATCACAGAGCTGTAAGTAAACATCAATCAATGAGTCCAACATGTGGAAGAGTTAAGGTCAGACCGGGGAACACAAATATATCTTGGTATTCTGATTTTGACATATGAAAATATACAGATTACTAGCACAGTACAAAATGGTGATAATTAGAAAACTATCTGAATTCCTTTAGTATTTCTGGAAAGGAAATAATCCCATCCATCAAAATTCTTTACTATTTTTTCCTCTAAAAACAATGCTAATATCCTGCAAACAGATTTTAAGACCTTGCGTGGACTTCCTAGCTGGGAACCCTTTTCTGAACAATGATACCTTTTGACCTTGAAAGAGTGACCTTTTCAAACAAGCAAACTGGCCTGTGATCCCCACAGGGAAAGGCAATGGGCTGGTGATCATTTTTTAGCCTATCAGATTCCTAGCACCAACTCTGCTCATCAGTAAGGTGGACTCATCATCACACCCATTTGCTTGTTTTGGATTTAACCATTTTACTCTGGATTAATTTATGTCTTTTATAACATTCTATCAATCTTGGGAGACTGGGAGCACTATGATAATCAAGGTAAAATGGGAAAACACTGACTCAAAAACAAAAAGAAAACAAAAATCACTCTACCCTAGTCAAAGAAAAAGATACCTGTTCACTTGTACAAGTGTCATGATAACAATCAATGTTAAGACAAGAGGCTCACTTGAAATTGCTTGGGAATGCCTACATTTTCTTAGACATACGTATATTTATCAACCAATTTTATTCAGTAATGAAGGCGATATGGCAATATTACGAGACAAAATCAAATCCTTCCCTGCGTTTAGCAGCTTTAACTATGAAATCCATTTTTCATTGGGACTAATAGTAACAAAATGGATTTAAAAGAATTCATGGCAAACTCTGGGCTTGAAGGTTCAATTTTGTCAGTACACACATACACACACACTGGGGTGTTTCCACTGAGAGGGAATGTTTGCTCTGGCAACTGCTGAGTCTCAACAATATAGATAATAATTCTGATTGGGTCTGTCTTGTTCATTGCTTGACCTGCAGAGCCAAGCACAATTCTAGTACAAAACAGGAACATGATAAATGCTTACTGAATAAATCAATGAGGAAAACTATTTTGCTTAGAAACTGTGTAAGTGAGACTTGGTTACTAATACTCATGGATTGATGGATGGATAGATAGGTAGATAGCTGACTGGAGCTGAGTGGACTGAACGTAGTGTACAGTCTATCAGAATTAAAATAAAAATATCTCAGCTGTAAAGAATATCAGAACCAATAGAAAAAACACTGTAGTTAGGTTGATATTAACGATAAACTGGAAGAGTCTCTTTATCTGTGTTCTGTATAGCACATGGTGCATGGCTGGTGCTCATTAGCAACCATTTATTGTTCTGAGGTTCTCAACTTCACAGAGTCAACAGGCTGAGGAAAAGTGGAACTATGCATTAAACAGGACATGGGTCCTATTATTCAGTAACATTATAAAATACAACGATTTGTTTTACAAACTCACGTATTACATATTCTGTGCAAAAAAAGTCATGCAACATAACTTATAGAACAAATTAAAAGGTGGTATGTAATAATATTTGTATCTTATTAATATTTAAACTATAGCACGAATTCTACAAATGATCCTAAAGCTAATACATGAATGTTTCTAGTTTTAGGAACAGCAGGATGACAAACGCTGATACACTACAGACACCGACACAATCTAACTGTGGGAAAAATTCACAGAAATTAAAAATACAAAAAGGATGGTTCACATAAAGGACACAGTTATCACCTTGAATCATACTGAGGAAGTGGAGAAGAATAGCTGCAAAATAATTTAGAAAGCAAATGGGAAAAATTAATGTAATATAATTAGAAGCAAGCAACAGAAAATGTCAATGACAAGCAAAGGAAAAATAAAAACCATCAGAAAATGAAACCAGGGCATTTGGCATTTGTGGGATAACCTAGAAAAGTATCTGCCTTACGTAGCTACATAAACTACTCCAAGGACCTGGCATCAGTGAATATTTCTAAGTGTACACCTGGTCTATATTTTCCTTTTCAAATAAGCCCACACTAGCTGCCATCACTTTTGCTTTCCTGCACATGTCTACGGTCTCTATTGTCTTCAATAAAGTTCAAGGTGAAGGGAAGATAACTTGCATATTCAAGTACTTCATTGTTTTTAATGTATGGGAAAGTTCATTTCTGATTTTATTATCACTTTTCTTCAGCTTCTCAGCTTACTAAATTAAGCCCTACTACCTGTCTTTGATTTGTAGAGAATACAAAGTGATGGTTTCAGGTCTTTGAATTATGGCAGCAATTCATCAAGCCTGATTCAAAAAAGTCTTCAACATGTCTGCTCCCTGAATGTATCCCAAATGTTGTATATTTTCCTTCTCGAATCTGATATATATATTTTTGCTTTTCCAATATTAGACCCATATGCATCTAATATAAATTATATATTTTAGCAGTTTAAAAATTAATATTATAATATTTCAAGGTTTTTCCAATTGAGTTAAAGAAATGTAATGTTAATAACTCAAAAGCCACCATCAAGTTTATAATTTATGAAGCACTTTCATGTCAGTTATTCCCATTTGCATGATACTGATCTGTTTCTCAGAATCATATTATTACAAAGCCAAAATCTATGATGATTCTTTATATAACCTGAAGCATTGCTCGGAGCCTTTTTATTTGTAAAATGGGGATAATGAGTAATATGTATCTCAGAGTATCATCTTAAATTTCAAGTAAATATCAAATGAGACAATACATGTAAAGATTTAGCACAATGCCAGGTACATGACAATAACTAAGTAAACATTAGCTATTACAATTTATTTTAATTAGAAGCAGCAGAAAATACGTAATATATGAAGCACTTCACAACTGTTATTGTTAATTTATTTAATTCCAAAATAATCTGCCTTTGTCCTTGATCACAATTACCTTATGACCTAAATGCCAATTTCAAAGGCAAAACTACCTTGAAATATTCATCATTTTAATAGATTATTTTGATTATACTTATATGGATGTCAACTATCCCAAATTTGAATTAACTACAGATGAAGAATCTAGTATCTAAAGACACACTAATTTATTAATTTAGTAATTGAAGCAAGTTCCCTTTTAGAGTCCTGTCTCGAATTCCACTGACCAGGGAGGCAGCATGAGGAGGTTACTCGATGTGGTTTTTAACCACAGCACTTCTGGTGTAGACACTGGTATGTTTTTATTTTTTTTATCTTTATTCTTTTTATTCATTTCTTTTTTCTAATTAATTTAATACAACTTAACTGTAATTTTTATTTCAGAAATGCAGAAGGCACCAACTTGATCGAAAGTTTAAATTTACATATTCTTTTAAAAGGAAAATAACACAAAACAAATCATTTGCCAAATCAAAGACCTGTATCATATGAGAAAAAAATGACAATGCCACAGCTTACTCCTAATTTAAAAACCAAATATTTGCTTGGTGTGGTGCCTGACACCTGTAATCCCAGCAGTCTGTGAGGCACAGGTGGGTGGATTGCTTGAGTTCAGGAGTTTGAGAACAGCCTGAGCAACATGGCAAGACTTCATCTCTATGAAAAAACACAAAAATTAACCGAGCATGGTGATGCGCACCTAGCTGTCCCAGCTACTCAGGAAGCTGAGGTGGGAGGATGGCTTGAGCCCAGGAGGTAGAGGTTGCAGTGAGCCAGGACTGTACCACTGCACTTCAGCCTGAGCGACAGAGCCAGACCCTGTCAAACAAAACAAAACAAAAACAAAAAACACAACCACTAAATATCTGAGAGAAATTCTTCTGAGAAAATCAGAAACCCAGAAGAAACTTCATTTGAATAGAAAAGTAAAATGAAGAAAAATCACTATATTTCAAATTTTAAAATATTTAAAAAGGAAATTTTCTGAAAAGGAAAATTAAAGACCTAGAAGATCAAAATAGCCAGGAAAAAAGTGTGTTATACCAATAATTTCATTATTTTTTCTAACAAAATTAATTTTTTGCTCATAAAAAACCCATACAGAATTGCTTAGAAAAAATTTAATGATTACAAATATACTTTACATATACTAATGAGTATACATTTCATACATGAATATATTCATATATATGAAGCTTGTTGATGTGAATTTATAACTGTAAATAATAAATGCAATGTTCATGTAAGAGGATAAAGAAAAGTGACATTTAGGTTACTTACCCAGAATGAATGGGGCTTGAAACAAGATTGACATTGTCTAAGGTGTCGGCAGCCCAGCTGTAATGTCTAAGAGAATCTGAATCAAATTCCCTTGTGAATGTTAAATGCTGTAAAATAAAATGGTCAATTAAATTACATTAACAAACTATACATGACCGGTATCTCTATACATATAAAACGTATCTGTATTCCTCTAATTCCAGATAGGCTTACATTCAACATAAATAATTTTTAAATTCTCTTGTATAGGAATATGTTGAAATTTGAGTATAATAATGTTAGAAAAGAAAGTCTATTGATATTTTGTTTTATTTCAATCTTTTAAGAAAGCACCCTGGGTAACTGGCATGGCACAGAACTAACTCCAACTATGATTTAAATCACTTCAACACATCTCCAAATTAATCCTACAACAACTGCAATGTTTTTTCCCAATTCTCAAAATAAAAAATGAAAAATTCAATCTTGATGTCTGGTTCCGAGCAGGGTGGAGTAGCTAGCAGCAGTCTAGTGCTTCTGCCAAGTAGGCTGGATAAAATAAAGAAATCGTATCTGAATGCAGCAGAGGGTGGCTAAAGCACTGAGAACTAAAATAACCACCAAACTCTGGGAAGGGGAACATCTTCAGGAGTTCAACTGACTTTCTGTTGCACATTTTTAACTTATGAGCTTTTGTCAGTTTCCAGTGCAAACAGATTTATACTTTTAACCTACAGGGGTCACTGTTGTTGAACAGAAAAGCCAAGAGAGTTCTGGTGGAGATTTGGGTGGCCTCAAGCACGCTAAGAACATTTGCTGAATTCTGGGGCTGTGCAGAACAGGAAGCTCAAAACCTAACCAGAAATATCTCTGAAGAGCATAATGGAGATTTTTGGCAGGTAATGAGAAAATGACTTAAAAGTTTAGAACTTATAATGGGAAAGAGATTTGAAGATCATACCACAATTTTAAATAAGGATGCTGGTGAGCTGGAGGGAAACCAGGGGTAGTATGAGCTTTTATGAGGCTGCAAACCAGCTTCACTTCAGCAAAATCTTAATCGAATTAAAATGATCATCTACTATTCTATTTTCCTAGCAGAGGGAGGGTCAACATTCTCTGGAAGAATAAATCACCATCGGTGTGTCCACAATTTTTTATACATCATGTCTAGCATAAAGTGAAACACTGCCAAGCATGGCCAGAGTATGTGAATAAAAACAGAAAAACAAAATAAAACCAACCTAAGCTGGACAGACACTATAAATAGATTCCCAGGCCATCCAGATTCTGAGGTAAGCTATTAAGTGCTTTATAATAACTATGATTAGTATGTTTACAAAAATAGGCAGAAAGAGAAAATAAATTAAAAGGGATAGAACACTAGAATATACATAAGAAAGAATTAAATGGGCATTGGTTCAGTATTAAATACAGTGTCAGTTCTTGACTTTAGACACAATATAAGAGGGTTGATAAGTTAGAGCCATAAGTGGAAAAATATAAAAACTGAAGGATATGTTAAAAAAATAGAAAATAGTACAAGATGTGGAACACTGATAAATTAGACCCTTAGAAATAGAAGAGGAGAATAAAGTAGAAGCTATATTTACAAAGATAATGGCTAAGAATATGCCAAATCTGATGAAAGGTATTTGCCCACAGATCCCCCCTCAATCTGCTTCCTACTGAAACCTCAGTAAAGCGACAGTCACATATTTAAAAATACATTTATACAGAAAGGACAGAGAGAATAAGAGAAAATACATCAGCAGAGAAACAAAAGGATTGGCTAAAATTCTCTTTAAAAAGTGAGCTGACCTTCATAATCCCCTCCCTTAGTCGTCAAATAATGATGCCCTGTCATCACCACCACCAACCCTAGCAGAAGGCTAGAGGCAGGAGACTAGAAGGCTAGAGGCCCCATCCTAAAAATGAAGATCATATACTGAATACTCAGACTCCCAGCCTTCTTCCTTTACTGGTCTTCTAAACACAGTTAGGGATAGAGTTCTAGGCAGAAAATGGGATGCCTGACTTGCCCACTGGTATTTTCCCAGCGAAATACCCTGGCTTCAGAGGAAATCATGGATAACAACCTCTGTACCATACAGAGAGTTTCCAATGACTTTATTGATAAATAGACAGCCGACAGCTACTAGACAGAAAATGGGATGTCTGACTTGCCCACTGGTATTTTTCCAGTGAAATACCCTGGCTTCAGAGGAAATCATGGATGACAACCTCTGTACCATACAGAGAGTTTCCAATGACTTTATTGATAAATAGACAGCCAATAGCTACTAGACAGTTGAGAAAAGCATCTACTATAAAAACAAAAACAAGCAAACAGAAGGAAAGCAAATTGGAGGAAATGGGCTTTTCAGGGAGAAGAAAACTTCAAAATATTCACTAATATCTAGAAAGAGATGAGATATTTTTACATCTGCGAAACAATAGACTACTTGTTATAAAAAAAGAAATATTTAGTGGAAATAACTCTTAGAAAGTAACAAATATGTTGGGGAAAAAAACCCTAGAAATTTTAGAGAAATTTTTAACTGTAGAAAACAGGGGAGAAAATACATGAAAACAAAAGATAAGTTCAGGAGGTTCAAATCCTCATCAGTCTAAAAAAGAGAAAAGTTCTAGAAAGAAACAGTAAAACAAAGGAAAAGAAACTTTTCCAGAGCTGAAGACACAGGTTGCCAGAGTAAAATGACCCACTGAGTGACCCACTGGAGTGACCAGCACTAGGAATGAATACAGAACCCATTATGGTACATCAACATAACATTTCAGAATTTGGAGACAAAGACAGAGCCTATATAAACATGGAGAGAAAAAATGGTCACAGATGGAGGGCCTGTATCAGACTTATAACAGCAAAACTTGAAGGAAAAAGGCAATGGAGTCATTCCTTCAACATTCTTAGAGAAAATGACTTCGAGTCAGAATTCTATAACCAGCTAAACTAAAAACAAGCATGAACTAGACAGATATTTTCAGATATATAAAACCTTTTAAAACGTATTTCTCATGCACCCTCTAAGGAAGCTATTGTTAAGATGTATTCCACTGACATGAGGAGTAACCCAAGAAAAAGGAGGACGTGGACTCCAACCCAAGAGAAAACAAAGGGAATTTTCATGGTTACAATGAAGGAAGGCTCAAGAGCACATCTGTGCAGTGGACCTACAAGGAACATGACAAGTAATAAGCTCTAAGAGACATGAGGTAGGCAGACGAAAGAGATAGATCACCTAACAAATGTGAACATAATGAGAGATTTGTACAACTGGGGGAGAGTTCTGGGGTTGGACTATCGATATGTACAGGGGATATCAAACAAATGAAAAAACTTCAGGGAAAATAAAATATTGTGCCGGAAAGAAAAAGCAATCAGGCTGGGCGAGGTGGCTCACACTTGTAATCCCAGCACTTTGGGAGGCTGAAGCAGGTAGATCACTTGAGGTCAGGAGTTTGAGACCAGCCTGGCCAACATGGTGAAACCCATTCTCTACTAAAAATACAAAAAAGTTAGCTGGACGTGGTGGCATGCACTTGTAATCCCAGTTACTTGAAAGGCTGAGGCAGGAGAATCGCTTGAACCTGGGAGGCAGAGGTTGCAGTGAGCCAAGGTTGTGCCACTGCACTCCAGCCTGGAAAGAGAAAGACTCCTTCTCAAACAAAAAAATAAAGAAAAAGCAGTCATAATGTAAGCCACATATGTGAGTAACATTTAAATAGGCATAACAATATAATCACCAAATACAGATATAACCAAAATAAAATACAACTGTTTGGGGAAATGGTAGAATACTAAGTGTGCATGGTCAGGGAGAAAAAGTGTGAAAAAATATTAAAGCTTCCTCTTTCATTTGAGGAAGTCAATAAATAATTCCTGAAATGCAGAAAAATCAGCAAGAAGCAATACTCATGTAGTATTCAGAGATATGCAAGCACATAATAAGAGTCATCAAAAATTATTTCAAGTACTTGTCTCTGGATAGGCAAAACTGGGGACTGAAAGTGTATATGGGGATTATGTTTTTTTCCTAACAAGTGTGCCTTGTAGAATATGGCTTTATTATTATTATACTTTCAGTTAAGGCATACATGTGCAGAATGTGCAGGTTTGTTACATAGGTATACATGTGCCATGGTAGTTTTGTTGTGCCACATCAACCTGTCATCTACACTAGGTATTTCCCCTAACGCTATCCCTCCCCTAGCCCCCCACCCAAATATTTCACAGCCTTTTTTTTGAGACAGAGTCTCACTCTGTTACCCAGGCTGGAATACAGTGTGCAATCTAGGTTCACTGCAACCTCCACCTCCCAGGTTCAAAAGATTCTCCTGCCTCTGCCTCCTGAGTAGCTAGAACTACAGGTGTGCACCACCAACACTCAGCTAATTTTTTGTATTTTTAGTACAGACGAGGTTTCACCATGTTGGCCAGGCTGGTATTGAACTCCTGACCTCAAGCAATCCACCTGCCTTGGCCTCCCAAAGTGCTGGGATTGCAGACATGAGCCACTACGCCTGGTCAAGGCTTTTTGTTCAATTATATAACTTTGGTAATAATAAAATTGAAATTTTAAACTTATTCTGAATTACACAGATTTTTTTTTAAATCCTGAAATCAAATTGAAAAATAAATTTGTAGAGCAATTATATACAAGTCACTATCTCACCCAGGTTTTAGGAAAATGCAAAAATGAATAAGGAACAGCTTTATTTGCATTTAATGAATGAGGACATATCCAGTGAATGGTGTACAATTATGCATCTAATAAGAATCCACAGAGAAGATTCTAACCCATCAAAAGCAATAAACCACTTAGGAAAGTTCCTAAATTCTATATGGGTTAACCAAAGATGAGGTGTTGGTTTGAGTCTGCCCTCATTTAATAACAACTTATACTGAATTTGGAGACCCATACCAACAAACCTTCAGAGTAGGGCAAAATACTTAATACAATATTGTGCTGTTCCTTTAATTTTTTTTGGCATGAGTGGTGTGGAGGGCAAGCTACAGTTCTTATTTTGGGGGGCCTAAGGTTATTTTTCACAAAGGTTTATTTTTTTAAAAAGAAGTTCTCATAAATAAATAATATCATTCCTC